ATTGGAAAACAACAAATAATCACAGCATGAAATGATGAATTTACGTATCTTTAGCATTTGCGTAAAGATCCGTAAATATATGGCGTTTTCTTTACGGAAAAGTAACGCATTCCGTAAAGACGCGTAAATGCAAGGAACGCGTAAAGAATACGTAAACAATGTTACATATTCGTAAAGAATATGGGTCAAAGATGGATACAACTCACTGCTTTCTAATTAGTAACCCCCCAAAAATTGACATAATCGTGTTTCGTCTGTCTTAGGTAAAACTTTATGTATTTTGAGCAATTTCGCTGGAGACACTTTACGCGTCTTTAACATCCTTTACGATTATTTACGCACTGTTCTTTACGGACCTTTATCATTCTTTACGCACAATAAGTTTACACGTCTTTAATTTTATGTTCGTGTTTATCAGAATCTCTTCTTTTACGTTGTTTCATACACAGGCATAAACCTGCTGTCCGCGTCAATATATTTAATAACTTAAAATAGGCGCTCCCCATTTCGAGCTCGAGAGATTAGTTTTTTTTTTCTTTTTGAAACATGTATGATTGGACGAACAAAAATGCGTACAAGCTACATAATGCCTATTACAGGAAGCTTTTCGAGCCATAAGATCAGCTGATTGCCTTGGCCTGCGTGTTTTCTATTCCATTACGCCATTACTGTGTCCCAGTCTGGGACACAGTAATGGCGGCCGGAAATCGCTGAAAACATCTGGAATTCACTTCTGCTGTAAAAATCGATCCGCTCGCCCTTTAGAACTAGCAGATATTTACATAAACACTTTTCACGATACCTCGACTGTTTAGATTGCTAAAAATCGCTGTAAGAGTATAAGAGCTGTAAGAGCTGAAAACCTTCAAAAGGAGATGCATTTAGGATGTTCAATAACCAAAGAAAGCTGAAAACTCAGGGGCCCTGCGATTTATCATTTTAGAATATCGATGACGTCACGTGAAAACAAAGAATACTCAGCATTTTCTGCCCACCCCCTCAAGTTGCATTTTATTTAAGTCTTTAATGAAGATTAAAGATGTTTACCAACAAATTTGGAAAACCACATTGTCTACGTGTCCAGGAATTTATTTATTATTTATTGGAAAAAAAAACTACCTCAGTAGATTTCAAAAATTTAAATGTTAATGGAAAAAGGCATGTCAGAGAAAGGAAAAATAAAAACACTGATTGCGAGGAACGTTTTAGCAACCCCGCAGCGGGCTTTTCGGACCGGCGGCGGCAAAGGATAGGATGACTAGACTTACATGAAGTATTTTACCAATTTTTTTAAAAAACGCATGCGTTAAGTTTTGTAGACATGCGCAGTCTTAGATGTGATACATCCCACATGGATGGTGAGTACCACACTGTCTCATATATATACTGATCAAATCCCTCCATACTTATATCACACATAAGGCATCTGCCGATCACGTTTACGTCTACGTTACAATCCGTGAAAGGGTGATGACTGCCTGACTGACTGCTCACATGACTGATCATCTCTCCGGCCAATACTTCGATACTTCGGCACTTCGATACTTCGGACTCATTTGCATAAATCTCAATTGCATAAAGTAAACTCGAACCTAATACTTTGGCCGAGCGATTTTTTAATTCTTATTTAAACTCGGTCCCATGCTCCGCGGGATTGCCGGAGTAGACGCCTTACACTACTTACGATTTTTTACAATACGCGTAAAGAAACCGTTTATAGTCTCATGACGTAATCTTTATATTCAACCGTTTACATCGCGTAAAGATTTTCTTTACGAAAGTCTAAAGAAGCTCGTAAAGATAAGTAAAGAGGATCTTATCGCTTTCTTTACGACGTCTTTACGGAACCGTAAATTCAAAATTTCATGCTGTGAATAAGAAATAATATTTTGAAAATATAATATTTAGAAATTCGAGGGTCTGTATTTAATATAGGTTTACTTATCCATGTGGACAGAAAACGTTTATGCGAGACACGACTGTTACTTAGTGTTTAGATTTAGCACCATTTGTATCCGTTCTCTTTTCTTTTTATCATTATATACTATTGTCATATTGAAATATTAAGATCGGTGCACACGAGTGTGAGGGGTTCAAGGAAACTTTTTAAAAAAATAGAGGACGTCATCGACGACTGCCACCAAATCGAAAACGAAGCGTGTATCCGCTAGTTTTTGCTCAGATTTTGATAAGACAATCATATGTACTGTTCGATTTTCAAGCATTTTATTATAATCTTTGTTAATGCCTTTAGTGATTATAGTGAATAAACATATCTTATTAGACGTTTTGTTGTGTAAAATCGACGAGTATTTTTACGAGTTGTGTCATGTAGCTGTTTCTATTTTCTTCAATAAATGATGAAATTTCATTGTCGTCTTCGTTCGATTTATCTTCTACACTTGGATCAATATTCGCCAGCCATTCCGACTCGTCGTCTCCAAAACAATGATTTAAATTGTCCGCCATATTTTTTTGGAACCTCATTCCAATTCGTCGCCTGCGCGATGCGAGAAAACCTGTCTAACCGATTCTCTGGAGTACAAATACCGCGTGATATTTGTACTCGTCTTAGGCGTTATTTGTACTCTACGAAGTGTAGTTGGATAATAAAAAATTTTTATACCATTGTCATCATTATCCTTTTTCTGTCTCGAAATAATCGTTGTTTCAACTGACCTTTTGTCGCTCTTCTTTTCATTATCGCCTGGAAGCTTCACTTGAATGATTTCAAAGTAGTCCTCGGGGCAGAAAAGGCCAACTGCGACCAAGCGCTTACAAGGACAAACTGCAAAACTTGAAACTCCTCGTTCTTCCACAATTTCACTCAGGAGATCACCAGATTTCACGTTGTATAATCGAAGAAAGTAATGTCCTGATGGATATGAAGCACGAACGCCCGCAATGCAGTCCTCGTTGCTGATAAACTTTGTAGAATCTACATTCGTGTCCTTCAATTGAGAAATCACTTTTCCCGAAACTACATCGAAGACGTACGAGTCAGTTTTACCAGAAATGATAAAGTATTCCTCAGTAGGAGAAAAAATACCAGAAACGACTAAGTGTTGCAGATCGGGATGGAGAGAAGTTTCCCACAACACTCTGTTTTCACACCGCAGCTGCATTGAGTCCCCATCAGTATAGGTTAGCACTTCACATTTACTGTTACATGCCAAAAATGTACCATCAAAATTTCCAATAATTGAAACAATTTTTCCACTTGTTGTATCTAGAACAGTCACTTTCAAGTTCTGACTAAAGGAAGACAGGCCTTTAATGCCGAGTCGTTCCTCTGATAGGGGTACAATATCGTAGGCGGCGTCAAAGGTAGGCCACCTTTGAATACAAACAGACAGCTCAGAGTTCCACAACTCAAGCGACTTCCTATCTCTTTTAAATAAGACACCTCTTTTGACGGGCACAAAAACAAAACCGGGCATACCAAAAGGCCTTCTTTCGCCCTTAAACCTTTTAGTAAAAATATCCCCAGTCCTAAGATTTATCCCCAGTATCGTTCTAGCCTTTACAAGATAAAGAGAGCCGCCATCAATAGAGAAATAAACTTCTTTACCGAAGAAATGATCAACAACGTCGCTTTTCTCTATGTCCTCCAGTAAAGGTCCCTGTCGTTCCACATCATCTAAGAGATCAAGTTCATGTAAGAGAAGTTCATCTGAGTCGTCGAGTTCATGTTGGTCAGGAACTATAGAATTCTTTTCCGAAAAGTCGTAAAGATCAGCTCCATTCTCTGATAGGACCGAAGGGTCAATTTCCAATATTACTGGTGGTTCAACCAGTTTAACACCCACCTCCATTGAGTTAAGAAGTTCAATATTCTTTTCTGGCGGGTCATTAAATTCCGTTCGTTGTACCACAACGTCATCAAGCTCATCTCTCTTTTCTGTGATGTTGTTGAGTTTCGCACCATGTTCTACTAAACCACCATGCTCAGCTCTCTGTTCTGGTAGGTCGTCAAGTTTAGCTCTCGGCTCCAGTAGATCAACAACTTCAGTTCTCCGTCCTGACAAGACATCGTTGTCAGTTTTCCGTTCCTGAATATCGTCAATTTCTAGTGGGTTATCTAAATCAACAAGTTCTACCTCTTCTGGTAGGCCAGCGAATTCAGCTTTCTGTTCCGTTAGATCGTTATTTTCGCCTCTCTGTTCCGTAAGGTCACCAAGATCTGTGCCTTGCTCCGATTCATCGCTACTTTCACCTCTCCCCTTCCTTGCGTCGTTAAGCCAAGACACGTCGATTTCATCACTAAAAGGGGAAGCTTCTATAAACAGCCCATTATTTAGTACAAGTGCAAACTTTGGATAACCACCGAAACGTAGTGCCAATGTACACCAAAAGGGATCTCCTGATAAAAAGCCACTCGCATTGCAAGTTTGAAATGCTAAAACGTACTGGCTGAGACTCGTCATTTGATAAAATTGAGAAAAATTATATACTGATTCAGTGTCCCTCTCAATATCTAAACACATATTCTGGCAATTGGGAACAATCTCATTCTCAGCAATCTCACAACACAAACCGAATAGGAACCGGCAATCAGGAGATAACTTTAACATACCACAGTTTGTTGGAGTGTCAGCCCGTATCAGAGTCTTTAATCCATCATGTGTGTTTATCAGGTATATGCAACGCGCACAATCGGCGATCGCCATCAGCCTTCCACTAGGAGACCAAGCAAAGGATAAAATATCG